TTTTTTTTTCTTTTTTTTTTTTTTTTTTTTTCTCATCAAGAAGTGTGCGCTGACACGAATAATCCAATTCCAAGGCTGTGGAGAGGTTAGCTGAGGTTGCTTTCTAACTTCTGAGTGGCTTTAGCCTTTAGGGGGATTATTCACTTATTCTTGTCTGGAAGGAAGCATCAATTCTATTTCTACTGTGCATGTGATTGATAGCAGCTAGCATGGCCACTAAAGCCAACTTTTTACCCAAATTTTGCATGAGACAAGATCCTTGTAGTTGTAGCAAACATGGAAAATGAAAGGACCAAATAATCATGATTGGGTCACCAGCAAAATCAATAAAAGTAACTCCTTGTGAACCTTTCTGGAAAGGATATATGCCACATAATAATGCTGTCATGAAATGAGGCACCTGTTACCAACAAATGCATGCAGTTAGTTGTTGGCATTTTCAAAAGATTCCCCAAAAGATAAATACAATATGTTCCTATTTACATATACAAGTTGTTGGCAGATATTAACTACTGTTTCTAACGGTTTCATATCAATAGTATGGTTATAAAAAATATTGTGTACATAAACACACATGATGCAATGATCGGCTAAATTCTATATATAAATGAAGCACCCTTTGAGATAAAATTAAATTATACAGACTTGTCTATATTCCAAATTCACATCTTCACTCATGTATCTTATCTACACTCTGATGTTCCTTGGGTGAAACCTCGCCTTAAATTTAACATGGATATAGCTTCAGCTACTACACATCAAGTTTGGGAAGATCAGGACAGTAATCTCTCTTATCTGCACTCGTCGTTGAAATCCCACCGCAAAATTTATCACAGACAATGCGTCAAGTTTGATTATCCCCATGTTATCTAACCTTGAGACACGTGCAGGATGTCATACTTATCTTTAATTTAAATTTCATCCTATATCAATTATATTAATTTAAATCGTGCTCCATTTTGACAAAACTTTACTATACCACCATAATTATTATTATTGATGTTATTCTTCCAAAAATACATTGCCCCTAAAAAATGTTATTTAAATAAATATTGTCGATTTTGGTAGTTATCGAAATAATGTATCATCTAATATTTTAGTTTGTGTACAAGTTAAATATTTATGTATATAACTAAAATTTATAATAAAGTATATATATAAATAAATACTATATAAATCATATTTAAAAATTATATAAATAGATAATTTTAAGTATATAAATTATATTTTATATTTAACAAGTCTCTGCAAGCTCAACACCAAGTATTTTTTTCAACAAGCCTCTTCAAGTTCAACCCTTACAAATAGATTTGAAAAGAGTTACAAAGATAGCTTCGTCTTTTTT